AAAGAAAGCGATGAAAGAATAAAATAGATGGAATTCATCGATGCATTTTTGTATCACATCGAGATCCAAATCTTGGTTATGCAAGTATGCTACATTAAAATTTTTGGATATTACGAAAGTAAAACTTAGCTTCATAATGTTAAATGATATTAAATGTAATTTTATGTTCGATAAATTATTAGTTATTAACATAGTTGAAAGGTTAAATATTTGGATTGTACAAGGATATGCTCATTCTGCTTGAAATCCTAATTTGAGTTGTCGTGGAAACTTTGTGAGAAGTGAGCGACAAAATTTAATTAATCACGCTCGTGAAAACAAAGATGCACTTTTCCTTGTACCAGTGCGAAATATTTTGTGTAAGGGTAAATAGCGCAAAATATTCTTACCTTTCAACATCATTGTGCAAAACGTCTCTACCTTTCATTTTTTGGCATTTTCGCCCCTACCTTCTACCTTTCATTGTGGAAAAGATCATTTTCAACAATTTTTTCAATAAAATAACAATTTTACCCTTCTATTCAAATGAAACAAAAAGAAAAAAAATAAACAACTAATTGCAATCGTAGTCCTAAATTTTTCAAAATATTACAGATAAGTCATAAATTCTCCACACCACCACTTTCACAACCTTACCAAGCTACCATCTATAGATCTACATAGCACCACCTTTTGACCATCACGCCCGCTGTACTCCAACCACCACCACTAACCTTGCTTCACTCTCCCCAACATCTTCTCCCACAGTAGTGGTCACAAAATCTGTCGAAAACAACCACATTTTGCAGCCTAGAATACCAAACTGCGGTATATAACCCTTCACGACAACCACACTTTCGGCGCCACCCACGGTCGCACACCATCACTAACGGTTACCCCTCACCTCGACGAACCTATACTTGGCCTCACATCAATCAAACTTGCCTCAAATCATTCTATTGTAATCTAGACATTCGACAGTGGCGACGCCAATTTTGCCAAACTCTTTTCCATCAATTCATGCACCAAACAACACTAAATCCTCAAGTTGGCATCAATCGAACCATCAACAAACCCAAACGACAATAGGTATGAATCGAATTGAATCAATTATCCCCCCAACCATTTCAATTTCAAATCCAAAACTCTCCACGACGCGATGCACGGAGAGAACGTCGACCAAAATTGGTGGGTCCTAA